CGGGCGACGCGCGGGCCGGCTGCGGGCCCGGCGGGCCGCGGCGGTGTGAGGCGGCGTGGGGACAGGTGGCGGCGTGTGATTGGCGGAGGGGCGGTGCGATTTTCGTCCGGTGCGGACCGGACGTGTCCGGCGGCGGCGGGGATGGATCTAGGGTTTTTGGACCGCGAATTGGACGGGGAGAGCACATATTTATAGGTAGAGGGAGCTAGGAGAGTCCAAATGAGGTGCGGTTTTCGGCCACGCGATCATGATCGAACGACCGAGAGGATGGAGGGGGTTTGGATGGGTTTTGGGCCACTTTGCAGAGGTGTTGGGATGCAACACACACGAGGCCTTTACGGTTCCTCGGTTAACCGTTAGAGTATCAAACGGACTCCAAATGGCACGAAACTTGACAGGCGGTCTACCGGTGGTATACCAAGGCCGCTTGTCAAGTCTCGGTCCAATCCGAGAACGTTTAACACTCGCACATGAAAAGAGGCAAAAGGGGTGCACCGGAGGACGTAGGAGTGCCGGAATGCAAAACGGACAACGGGGAAAATGCTCGGATGCATGAGACAAACACATATGAAAATGCGATGCACATGATGACATGATATGAAATGCATGAGATGAACAAAATGCAAAACAAAGACAAAACCCAACCACGAGGGAATATCATAACTTAGAGCCGAAAATGGCAAGAGTTGGAATACAAATATGGCAAGTTACATACAGGGCACTACACCACTCCACCACTACGAAAGGATCTCGTCCCGAGATCTAGGACTGGAAAACTCCGGAAATTCGGAACAGAGGTGGTCCTCGCGTTCCCAGGTGGCTTCTCGGTCGGAATGATGTGACCACTTCACTTTCAGGAATTTGATAGACTTGTTGCGAGTCTTGCGCTCAGTTTCTTCAAGAATAGCAACGGGACGCTCATGATAAGACAAGTCTTCTTGGAGATCAATCTCTTTGAAGTTGATGGTGCGGTCAGGAGTCTTGAAACACTTGCGAAGCTGAGACACGTGAAACACATCGTGCACATTTGCAAAGTTGGATGGAAGCTCAAGTTGATAGGTGAGATCGCCTATTTTGCCAATGATCTTGAAAGGACCCACGTATCTAGGGGCAAGCTTCCCTTTGATATCGAAGCGACGAGTACCTTTCATTGGAGAGACACGGAGGTAGACATGGTCTCCGATCTCGAAAGCCAAGTCAAAATGCTTGCTATCATAGTAACTCTTCTGGCGCGATTGCGCGGCTTTGAGATTTTCATGAATGACTTTGCACATTTCTTCAGCCTCTGTGATCAAGTCATTTCCAAGAAGTTGGCGTTCACCAGTCTCTGACCAATTAAGAGGAGTACGGCACTTTCTGCCATAGAGAATCTCGAATGGGGCCTTGCCCGAACTCGCTTGGAAGCTGTTGTTGTAGGAGAACTCGGCATCTGGAAGACAATCTTCCCACTTCATACCGAAGGAAATGACACAGGCCCTGAGCATATCTTCAAGAATTTGATTGACTCACTCGACTTGTCCACTAGTTTGAGGATGAAAGGCAGTGTTGAACCGAATGTTGGTACCCATGGCCTTCTGGAAGGAATCCCAAAACTTAGAGGTAAAGATGCTTCCACGATCTGAAGATGTCAACTGCGGAATGCCGTGCAGAGAGACAATCCTGGAGGTATATAGCTCTGCCAACTGAGCTGCTGTGATAGATTCTTTTATAGGAAGAAAATGAGCCACTTTAGTAAGCTTGCCGATGACGACGAAGATAGCATCATTGCCACGCTTGGACTTGGGAAATCCAGTCATGAAGTCCATCTCAATATGGTCAAACTTCCATTCTGGGATGGCAAGAGGTTGGAGGAGACCAGCTGGCCGTTGGTGTTCTGCTTTCACTCTTCTGCAGACATCACATTCATTCACGAACTGAGCAATCTCTCACTTCATTCGATTCCACCAATACGACTACTTGAGGTCATGGTACATATTTTTACTTCCAGGATGAATAGATAAGAGTGAATTGTGAGCCTCGTTCATAATGACTTTACGAGGGTCACCCTTAGGAACAACAATGTGATCCTCGAAGAATAGAGTATCTTTGTCATCAAGGCGATAGCACTTGTACTTGGGTTGGCTCTTGGCAATCCCAATCTTCACCTTCTTCACCATGGCATCAAGAAGTTGAGCCTCACGAATCCGATTTTCCAAAGTAGGAGAGACTTGGAGGTTGGCAAGAAATCCTTGAGGAACAACTTGGAGATTAAGTTTGCGGAAAGCTTCACAAATATCCGATTGGAAGGGCTTGAGAATCAAACTGTTGCAGTAAGCCTTCCTGCCTAAAGCGTCAACAATGACATTGGCCTTGCCTGGAGTATATTCAATACTCGGATTATACTCTTGAATCATTTTGACCCAATGAGTCTGCCTGAGGTTGAGGTTGGGCTGAGTGAAGATGTACTTGAGGCTCTTATGATCAGTGAAGATGTCCACTTTCCTTCCCAATAAGAGATGTCTCCATGTTTAAAGAGCATGGACAACTGCCGCCAACTCCAGGTCATGAGTGGGATGGTTCTTTTCGTTGGGCTTCAACTGGTGAGAGGTATATGCCACAACTTTCTTCTCTTGCATTAACACAGCGCCGAGACCTTGAAGGGAAGCATCACAGAAAACCTTGGATGGTTTGGATTCATCAGGAGGAGTCAGAACTGGAGCTGTGACTAACTTCTCTTTGAGGGTGTTGAAAGCAATGTCACATTCAGGCATCCAGACATACTTCACATGCTTCTGGAGGAGGTTGGAAAGAGGCTTCGCGATCTTTGAGAAATTCTCAATGAATCTTCAACAATAGCTTGAGAGCCCAAGAAAGCTGCGGAGCTGCTTCACATTCTGAGGTGGTTCCCAATTCACAATTGCAGACACCTTCTTAGGATTAACAGCTATGCCCTTGGCAGAGATGATATGCCCAATGTAGAGAACCTCATCGAGCCAAAACTCGCACTTTGAAAACTTCGCATAGAACTAATGTTCTCTGAGTTTGTCCAGCACTAATCTCAAATGCTTGGCATGATCCTCTTTGTTCTTGGAAGAGACCAAAATGTCATCAAGATAGACCAAGATGAAGTCATTTGTGTAGGGGTTGAAGATGAAGTTCATCATGCGAGAGAACGTTGGAGGAGCATTGACAAGGCCGAAAGACATGACACTGTATTCATAAGAACCTGTAACACCCTTGATGCGGCTATATCTCCCGCGTGTCGAAGCACGACTTAGAGGCATAACCGCATTGTAGGCATGTCGCAAGAGGGGTAATTTTTACACATCCCATGTACTGAATAAGAAAGAGGATAAAGAGTTCGCTTACAATCGCCACTTCACACAATACAAGAATATAGCATTACATCATCCAGGTACAATCAAGGTCCGACTATGGAACCAAAATAAAGGAAGACTACCCCTAATGCAAAAGATCCCCGGTCGCCCCGACTGGGCTCCACTACTGATCAACTGGAAACGAAACAACACAATGAACACGATCTTCATCGAGCTCCTCCTTGAGCTAGGTTGCGTCACCTGCATGGGTATCAACGGCACCTGCAACTGGTTTTGGAAGTAAATTGTGAGTCACGGGGACTCAGCAATCTCACACCCTCGTGATCAAGACTATTTAAGCTTATGGGTAGGTAAAAGGTATGTGAGGTGGAGCTGCAGCAAGCACTAACATATATGGTGGCTAACTTACGCAAATGAGAGCGAGAAGAGAAGGCAAGGAACGGCCGTGAACTAGAAGTGATCAAGAAGTGATCCTGAAACTACTTACGTTCAAGCATAACTCCAACACCGTGTTCACTTCCCGGACCCCGCCGAGAAGAGACCATCACGGCTACACACGCGGTTGATGCATTTTAATTAAGTTAAGTGTCAAGTTCTCTACAACCGAACATTAACAAATTCCCATCTGCCCATAACCGCGGGCACGGCTTTCGAAAGTTCAAAACCCTGCAGGGGTGTCCCAACTTAGCCCATCACAAGCTCTCATGGTCAACGAATGATATTCCTTCTCCCAGGAAGACCTGGTCACACTCGGAATCCCGGTTACAAGACATTTCAACAATGGTAAAACAAGACCAGCAAAGCCGCCCGAATGTGCCAACAAATCCTGATAGGAGCTGCACATATCTCGTT